CTCCCAAGCTCAGTTTTCAGCTGCGATGGCCTCCTGCAACCCTCTGCTGATGAAAATGGAGCTTGGGGGTGCAACCCTTCCGAGCTCAGTTTTTGCTGGCAGAGGCACCATGGGCTGGTCCTTCACTATTTCCAGGGCCAGATTTAAGCTGCAGACTGGATCCAGCCTGCAGGCCTTGAGTTTGACACCCCTGTGGTAGAGGAAGGATTCAGGGCAACAATAAAGCAGAGATGGGGGAGTGAGTGGGAGACGAGTGTGCTTAAGAGAAGCATGAGGCCCTTGCCTAACAATCAAAGCTGCAATTACCAGAACTGCCATTATTAAATGATGCAATCATAAGAACTTTCACCTAACTACCACTTAATTAGTAGTGGAAATTCGTGTCTTGAATGATGTCATTGAGGATTACTTGTAACTTTTGTCTTTATATGAAAATAGTAGGAAGTGTGCTTCTGAACCACTCAGCAAATATAGTTGATAGTAAATATTAGAGAAAGCAACAGAAATAGTTCTGATCAATTTAACATTAATCTCTCTCTCCCTCCCTCCCTCCCTCCCTCTCTCTCTCTCTTATGGAAAGGAGTCCTAGAATGGCCATTTTGGACAAAATTGGTTGTGGTAGCCATTGGATTCACTGGAGGCCTTGTCTTCATGTATGTGCAATGTAAAGTCTACATTCAGTTATGGCGAAGGCTGAAGGCTTATAACCGTGTGATATTTGTTCAGAACTGTCCAGATACTGCCAAAAAACTGGAAGAGAAAAATTCTTCCACCATTCAGAACACTGAAATTAAAGATACTGTTGTGGTTCCGGTGTCACAGACAGATACAAACTGTCAGCAAACAGAAGAAACTGTTCCTGATGTCATGCCAGTTTGATGGAAGTAGCATTTCTTTGGGGAAACAAAGTGAAACGTTTCTGTTAGCTACAAGGAAAAAAAAAATCAAATCCACAGATTATATTTGAAAAAAGAACAAATATAAAAAATAGCAAGGAAAATTGATAAGATGCACATTACCTCTGAAATGTAACTGAGAAATGTTTTTTCACCTTTCTTGCTAAGTACAGTTAAAAGTGGAAGATAGAAAAGCAAAAACTTCTAACAGGCAAAGGACATGCCAACACTACTACTGATGGCTTACAAGAACTGCGTTTTCAGAACTTCTACTTACGTTCTGTTTACAAGAAAAAAAAGTTTATGTGTATTTGCTACTATGGTCTTTTTGCTAATTATTGTAAACTTGGGGGGGGGAGATCAAACAAATTTTTAAGGTTCTTATAAAGGTATGCATCGAAGCACAAATTATCTGTTTGATAATGTGATATTTAATGCTAAGGTGATTACCCTATAACATTTCTGTAAAAACAACCACACTTATCAAGTAATAATGGATTTTGAGTATTTGTAGAGTATTAGAATATTTTTCTTGGTCAATCATAGACACAGAAATAATTAACAAGAAATTCCCTGACAATTTGCTACATTCATCTGGAATAGCAACTTAGTTTGTAATTATTCTTATATAGTAGAACATTAAAAATTTCCGGGCCACTGTAAGATTACTCTTCCAAAGGACAATTCATTAAATCGGAGTATTAAGACAACAGAGTACTTTTGTTAACAAAAGGCTTTATAATTTCTATTATCTTTTTATTTGGATGAGGTATTGTTTTAAAAATAGCCTTGAAAAAGTCTATGTGGACAGCATTCACATTATGACAATATTTCTTCAATGTGAACTTAATTGGCAATGTAAATGCAGAAACTTCTATATAAGAAAGAATTTAACAGTCAAGGATTCAGTAGTTCATTTGATACTATTATTTTAATATATTAAGATAAAATGAGGTATGATTAAATGAGATGCTTAAATTCAAATCAGTGTAAGAATGCAGCCTGCAGGGGATCCAAAGAACAATTTGGCATCCCATTTCAGAAGTATTTACCCAGGGGGCTTAAAGAAAGTAAGATATTTACAGAAAAATAAGTATCTTATTTCTATCGCTGTTATGCTTGTTGATTGTATTGTGAGTTGTGCCCAAGTAATGTGAGTTAATACGAGAAAACAGTAATAAGGGGAGCTTATGATGCAATTGGTTATTTCTAAAAGAATTATAATTCATGCTGCAAAATTTAAAAAATAGTAAACTGCCCTGAAATGATTATATTTGTTTGTTCCATTGAGAAATTGTAAAAGCAGTTAACTTCATTAAGATAAATGGGTATTTTCTCACTTGATGTCAGTAAGTCAGAGTTGTTTGTATTATCAGAAATCTAGCTTGGTTGAAAACATATTAACTGTAAAGTTAATATTATACAATATGATGGATATGACAAGAATTATAATGCTGGAAAGCTTTCTGAAATGAAAACTGGATAACTGAACTGTAAACTAAGTATTTCAGATAAAAGAAAAAAAAATGCCATTATAGTATTTTGTGGGGGTTCAGATGATCCCATAATTTAATACAGATAATGGGACAAATGGAAAAGAAGTTTGGCCACAAGCTGAAATAATACTCAAGCTGAACGGTTTGCATTTTTTTCCCTAAGTGACATATAAAAGATCAGGATATAGTTTGGGTTATATTTATAATTTGGAGTGATAACGTATGCTGCTTCTCCAACTATAAATATTTATGATTTTACTATGCTTTGCATAGATGATCACTATGGCATTAAAAACTGAAAACTGAACTTATATACAACAAAATGCACTTTCAGAATAATACTGCAATGTGAATTTCTTATCATTATACTAATGTTAATGTCAGTCCAGGCAGTTATTTTGCCCAACTGCATATTTTGCAGAGACCGTACATTGGCGCCCATACAGAGCAACATTGCGTAAAAGGATTATCATGCATGTGACAAAAGGCAAATGGCTGGTTATTCATATATTCAGTGGCAGTAAAATATTACGGTAGATTCATAGAAATGTTGGCATGTTTATATAGCATGGATGCATTGGAAGAAAAGGTCTACATGATTCCCATACCAAGATCTAGAAACAACTTATCATTATGCCAGCAAGCGTTGTAAACAAGATTTGTTTTGGCTTAATTCCATGGAATTTAGGGAATTATGCTATTTTTAAAACCTGATTCACATGGAACCAGGCATGAAGGGACAGCTTTCAGTTGTGTTTGAAAATTATATTTGTACCACAATTTGCAATATGCCATCTTTAATGCTGTCTTTTTTGAGTACCAGTTAAAGAAAAGGTGTATTAGGTACCAGAAAAAAATATGGAATATATCATCCTTTAAGGAAAAAAAGCAAATTTTTAAATTCCAGTATTTTTTGGTTGGTTGGTTTATTCTTAGGCAGCATTCAATTCCAAATTATCCTGGCTATAAATCTAAAATACTATTAGTATAATTGCTACAGGTGGAAAGCAATCAATAGAAAAGGTGAGTATTGCATTGTTGCACAGATCCCCATTTATCTGAAAGTTATCTCTCAATTTCTGAAAACTGCACTGCAATCTATGATGCAAATATTTTATTATATATAATCATTGGACTTGCAAGTTTGTTACTTGTTTTCCCAGTTCTCTTTGGGAAGAGCTTTTGTGGGTGATTTGTGTATTAAAAAGGTTCTTGGGGTGAGAAAAAAACCTAATTGTTGTGGAACAAATTTGTATTTGTAATAAACAGATGACTCTTAAGTGGCTATAAATTATTTATTTTTTTAATAGAAACTAATCATGTTTCCATTATGTAGTTATATTATGTATTTTGTATTTCCAGTCTGAAGAACTTCAGAACTCGAGTCTTAAGTTTCAAACTTGAGGATATTGTTGCCTTATAAAATGCCCTTGGAAGCATGTTTTAAATGAAATCTCAGTTTATGTGCTTCAGATTACATTTGATTAAGTGAGGAATGGCCTAGTTGAAAACAAATGTAGTCCAGTCCTTTTCCTGAGCAACAGTTTAACTCAAGAAGAACTTCTTTCCCCATTCTTCAGGAATGTAGTTTAATGTCAGTTCAGTAGCATGAATATGTGCTTCAGAATCTGATTTATAAATCAATGTTAAGGAACTTTGTTTTAAAATGAGATCAGTACCAAAGTAGAAAGCCCACTAGTAGATTCTCTGAAGCCAAACTGGCGATGTCAAGTTATTTGCTTGTCCAAAAATTAGTAATTTTGAATTATGAAAATATTACAAGATTCTCAGTTATCCAGGTCATGGTTGTCCCAAAGGTGCTTTTCAGGCTGAACTTTCTCATTTTTTCTTTCGATTCTCATCCAAGAAGCTGCTTCAGCTCTCCATTCCCCATTCCCCACTATCCTGTCAGAGCTGAAGAAATCTTGGATGAGAAGCAAAGCATCATAAAAAAACAACAAAAAAAGTCCAGTTACCTCCTGAAAAAGCACCTTTGGGAAAGTATTACAAGTTACCACATAGAATATTACAACTGAAGAACCCAAAGATCAAATCCAAGAAAGAAAGCTTAAATATACTGGTTAGTATACTTTCTTCAGTACTGTTTTATAGCCCATATTTTACTCTTTCCAATTTTATTTTATAGCCTATATTTTATTATTTCCAACTCAAAACAATATTGTAAATAAATTAGATACTGGGACACACAATTATGTACCTATGTATGCTTAGCAGGAAAGCTTTTTTTGTAAAAAGAAAAGAGCTAAATGTGGTGTGTTAAGAGAATGGCGAAACAGTTCCTCCCATTATGCATTTTTACAATTTGGAAGAGTTCAAGGGGAAATATAGAATCCTTAATAGTACAGGTGAAACTCGAGAAATTAGAATATCGTGCAAAAGTTCATACATATGTATGCTTATACCTTTCAGAGGTCCGATATTGTTCTATGTACAATCCTTGTTTTATTGATTGCGTGTAATATTCTAATTTTCTGAGATTGTGGATTTGGGGTTTTCATGAGCTGTAAGCCATAATCATCACAATTATGACAAATCACGGCTTGAACTATCTTGCTTTGCATGTAATGAGTCTATCTCATATATTAGTTTCACCTTTTAAGTTGCATTACTGAAATAAATGAACTTTTGCATGATATTCTAAGTTTTCGAGTTTCACCTGTACCTGCTGCAAAATTTAGACCACATTTTTTAATCCCAACCTCTCAAGTGATATTATGCGCTATGCTTCCAATCTTCAGCTTCTTCAGGAAGGAATAATGCCAGAATGCACTATTAAAAAATGTTGCCACTCTTGGGGTATGGAAAGATGCATTTAAGTTCACCCCTAAAAATCTTTGCTCCTATTGTAATGACAATCAGATCAGTACTTTCTCTTGAAGAACAACTGCGGGAAGGTAGTAGGTGAGATGCAACGTTAAAAATTGGACTTTTTCTTCATGACCTTTAAATGTTGTTTTGTTGCATTTTATGACTAATTAGAATAATTATTTTAGACTAATCAGAATTGATTCTCTCAATATAATATCAAGTATTTTTTATGAACCTTACCCACATTGCACTGTTTTTTAAAAAGGCAATGCAATATTATAAACTGCAGTATAAATTGTCATAGTGATCAGAACCGCAGGTACTCTTGGTTGATTAAAAGGAAGGTTTCTTGCTGCCAGTTTAAACACTGGTTTGTCAATCTGTTTCACATATCCCAGCAATTTCTTTTTCATCCACATCCTGTGCGGCAGGCAGTTCATTTCCAGCTTCAATGTTTGCACTCTCCATTCTATTTTGAGAGAGATCTTTACTGGATAACTTTCTCATTTTAATATTTGGTAGCTTCTTCAAGTCACCATCCCAGTCTCTGGTAGAAATGGAAAAAAAGGCAAGCATTAGTTGATGGAAACCCTTTAATATTTATGTTGGTGATCAATCATTGCTCCTATTTAAAAAGAAAAAAACTTTGATTGGAAAGGTCTTTGTAAAATAACCCTGGAATAAACCCACCTAATTGAAGAGATGTTTTCAAGAGACTTTACTGAAATTCCTACGATGCAGGAAAGACAGGAAAACTACTATGTATATTCTAAAATAGGCTTACAATATTTAAATGAATATAACCCCACACCAAATTAAAGAAAAACAAAAATTTTGGGTCCAATTTATATGCAAAAGGCTCTACCTACTTTATTAACTGATCCTATCTATTGTAGCCTGAGGAAAGTATCTCAAAAGAAAATTTGACTGCACTATCAGGATTTCCCCCCCCCCCCCCCCCCCGAATACAACCTCCTTTGTCTGTTTTTCAATTAATTCATTCCTGGATTTTGTTAAATGGGACAGAAATTAATGTGCATTGCTTTCTCAAAGCTCATCAGTTTCTGCAGCTGACTTCTAATACGAGGATGACTCAACCTTGGAAAACTCTTGAGGTTATGCACTAAGGCAGCGGATCTCAACCTTCCTAATACAGTTCCTCATGTGGTGACCCCCAACCATAAAATTTTATTTTATGTTTTCCGTATTTTTTCAAAAATATGTGTTTTTCAATGGTCTTAGGCGACCCCTGTGAAAGGGTCATTCGACCCCCCCCCCAAGGGGGTCCCGACCCACAGTTTGAGAACCACTGCACTAAGGGTTAGGTAAGAACCACTGATGTACTGTTCAGTAAATTCCTTCCCTCCACACGTAATCAGATGCAGAGTAGAAAAGTAAAGAAAAGCTCTAGCCATAAAAGCATCTTATATTGTGTAGTTGTTTTTTCATATTGGTTTCGAGGAAACCTAACTCTAACCACAGGCTGATTTCCATTCCAGTAGAATTTATCATGTATTTTGCCCTGGAATTGAAATAAGGCAGAATAGGAATGTAAAAAGTCCACTATCTCTTTACAGCCTCTCCAAATTTAACCATGATCTTTGTTTGTTTGTTTATTTTTAGAGATTTCAAGGAAGTCTAAACTTCAACTAGGTATTTTTTTTCCGAAGTAGGATTTCCTATTAATTTTTCCTGGAAAATAAAATGAAGCAAAAAGGGAACATAAGAAGCCTACTTTCCATAAACACCCTCTTTGATTCTTCTATCCATGATGTTTGTTTTTCTCACTGATTTCAAGCTTAACCGTGAATTTCTATCTAAATAGGATTTTCCCAGGCATTGTGTCAAGCAATTAAAATAACATAAATATTAACATTTTAATTTTTATAAAATTAAAAATAGAGAAAAAGGCAAAGATACAAATATATAAACCCGCAATTTTCACTTGTCAGTTTATTTCTGAGTTATAATACATCAATTCCCATTTTTAATGTAATACTCTGTATAACACAAGGAATAATACAATATGATGTTGAAAATGTTTTATTATTTGAAACTGATGCATGTCATTGTTGGATAATAGACTGTTCATACTAGATTACTTTGGACTAAAAGACTGTGTCCTCTTTTAAAAATTAACAGAAATTATGCTGGAGTAATGTATCTCTGCCCGCCCCATTTGGGGGTAGTTAGAAAATAACTCACCTGAAATATCGAAGATGTTTACAGTTTACAATGTCAGGGATTTCTATGGAAAGAAATTGAATCTAGATCAATCCATAGAGTAAGAAAATTAAAAGATGACTGATCTCCCACTGTCTTATTTTGTTATTGTAGTTGAAAGAGACAAACTCATCAGTTTTATTTTGCTTACTTTAGAAATTAAAACTGATTCATCAAAATATCTTATTTCAAATTGCAGGATACCCCAAAGAATATGTTCAAAAGGATGGCTATTAGATTTACTTTGTTAGCAATGTACAAAAAATATGTACATGCATTATATGTACTTTCTCAGGAGAAAACTATTTGTAACAAAGAAAATAAAATTACATGCTGCCATATCAAGGATATTATTTTAGCCAATTAACCAACTTTAATCAATTGGGCTAATTTAGTTCTTAAATGTTTCACATCAAATTTGGAAAAGCGCCTAATTTTTCCAGACAAAACTATAATTGTCTGGTAAGAAAAACTAATGAATGGTGAATACTGGGAGAGAAAGAAAAGTCACACCACTGGTCATTTCTTCTCAGTGAAAGGCAATAGAAATATGCATTTTAAAAATTAGTCAATATAACTTCATTTTAAACTACCATCTCTAATAACACTGCCTAGAAGTATAAATCATTTTTCTCAAATTAGAACCCAGTTAATCAAGAAATATGCAAATGATTATTTCTCGTTAAATATTTCACAGTAAAAGAAAGGGGAGTGGACCTGGATAATTTTGAATATAATGTGCGTTAAATTATACATACATAAAAGTTAAATGAATAGGCTATAGAGAGAGACTTGAAATATATATAGCATATCTACTGTTAATTTTAAGTTGAATTGAAGAACATTTCAAGTGCTCTTATGGACATGAATTTTTCAAGCAAACTTGTCTAAACTTGTAGCAATTCATCAGGAACAAGGTTACACTGACCATCTATTTATTATTAAAAAATCTTTTGCATGCATCAAATTAACTACCACAATTTGGAAGGGATTACACAGATTATCCACCTTGCATATTTCTTCATTAAAACAAATTGAAAAATTGAAAGACAAAAAGGATAAATATAAAAAGTGGAAGAATTCCATGGATGAGAAACCTCAAGGGGAAAACAACTCAAGAAGCTTTGGAAATTTTGAAAAATGAGATTACAAAAGCCCTGTCTAGCACAATACCAATGAAGAAGAAAAATAACAGCTCCCCAAAGAAACCAGCATGGCTGCATAAAGAACTCTCTGACAAAAAGATAAGTATAAAAAGTGGAAAGAAGGGGACATAACTAAGGCAGAATATCAGCAAATAGCCTGAGCCTGTAAAGATGAAGTGAGGAAAGTTAAAGCTCACAATGACGAAAGGCTTGCCACAAAAGTAAAAAATAACCAAAAAAAAGCTTCTTCCAACATGTTAAAAACAAGAAAAAAGTTAAGGAAAAAACTGGTCCATTGCTGGGACAAAATAGCAAGAAGGTGACAAGCAATGGAGAAAGCAGAACTATTTAATTCATTTTTTGCATCTGTTTTTACACGAAGGGAAAAAAAACCAGTCCAACCTACCAAAAATAGCACCATAAAAATCAGATTAGGAACACAATTTAAAATAGGGAAGAAAATCGTGAGCATCTGTCTAACCAAGATCAATGTTAATAATCAGGTATTAATCAGTGTTAATACCACTTTATAATGCCTTGGTAAGGCCACACTTGGAATACTGCATTCAGTTTTGGTTGCCATGATGTAGAAAAGATATGGAGATTCTAGAAAGAGCGCAGAGAAGACCAACAAAGATGATTAGGGGACTGTAGACTAAAACATATGAAGAACGGTTGCAGGAACTGGGTATGTCTAGTTTAATGAAAAG